TATAAGAACACTAATCCCATGATGAGGGCCTCACTCTCATGACCTCATCTAAACCCAATTTTCTCCCAAAGGCCCTATCTCCAAATACCCTGTGGGACAAACAGTAGCATATGTTTGAGAAAGTAGTTCAATATTCCCTGCTTTCGGAGAGGGAAAAGTGCCGGAAGAGGAGACTACAGAGGTACTCTGAAGGTACATCAAGATGATTATCCTGGAGTCTTTAACCTTTGGCCTCCATAGATGAACTACCAGTTAAAAATGTATGTAAATTTTATCTGTACATACAGGCATACCTTGGAGATATTGCAGGTTTGGTTCTAGACCACTGCAATAAAGCAAATATTGCAATAAAGGGAATCACACAAATTTTTTTTTCCCCAGTGAATATAAAAGTTATGTGAACACTACACTGTAGTCTGTTAAATGTGCAATAGCATTAAGTCTAAATAAACATACATACCTTCATTTAAAAATGCTTTATTGCTAAAAAATGCTAATGATCATCTGAGCCCTCAACAAGTTGAAATCTTTTTGCTGGTGGAGGATCTTGTCTCAGTGTTGATGGCTGCTGACTGAACAGGTGGTGCTTATTAAAGGTTGGGGTGGCTGTGGCATTTTTTAAAAATAAGACAACAATGAAGTTCGCTGCAGTGATTGACTCTTCCTTTCACAAATGTTTTCTTTGTAACATGCACTGCTATTCGATAGCATTTGACTCACAGTAGAACTTCTTTCAAAACTGGAGTCAGTCCTCTCAAACCATTCCACTGCTTTATCCAACAACGTGTATGAAACATTCTAAATTATAAATTAGGACATAGGAAATATATTAACATATATGTATATGTATTAATGACATTTAAAAGACATGTGCATGTATGTATATACATATGTAAATATAAAGAAACTATTAAATTGGAACTAATCATCTGATGCATCCTCTGTGAAGTGACATATATATTTGAACACACTAAATCACTTTTTTCAGGAAACCACATTAGGATTGGGAGAAAATAGTCTATTTTTCAAACCAGACAATGCTGATCTAGTCACTGGAACTGAGATGAATGGACATTTGTGAGGCCATGGTCTTTGTTCCCTCTCCCTCCAGATTCCAAGAATTTTGGTCACTGTGGGACATGTTCTAGAATGTAGAATCATGCAATTATAAAAGATACATGTGTTTTCACTTGTTGTAGCCTCAGGTCCAGGCTTCTGCTGTACCATATTTGCTAAAGACACCAAGGCTGGGTAGACCTAGCTGATCCTGGCTAAGGTACTGCCTAGCTAACAATTTCCATGTGGTGAGAAAATGCATAGGTTTTTCTGAGCCAATCCCTCTGCACAGGGGTGAGAATACATATGGAGGTGGTTTGAGAGTAGTATTCTATGGCTAGTGACAGTAGAATGAACTACAAAGGAACATCATCCTTGGCATCTGTGATACCAGAAGGGGATTTGGGAATGTCTTGCTGTGAATACCAAGGGGATCAAATGCACTATACTCTCAGGTGGGCGAGAGTTCCCAGAGGAGTAAATGTTCCGATCCTCCTCAGGAAGAAGACAGGTGTCGGGAAGTTTTTCCATAAATAAAGTTAGTAGGCCAGGTGACTTAGAGCCAAAATCTGGGTCTCACATTTCACAAAAGTTTTTCTGCAAGACCTCTAGCCTATACAATAAGAGAAATCTTGTTTCTCCAAAATTAAGTGACTGAAAGAATTAGGACCTCATACACTGCCTCTCAGTGGTACAAGGCTCTTCGTGAGGGGATGGATCTTACCAAAGTTAATCCACCCAGTTAATGACTCTGGAGCTCTGCTCCAGAGCCAATTACTAAGGGAGGCATGATGCCAAAGCACTGAAAAGAAAGCTTCTCAATTCTCAAGGCATGAGGTGTTTGTTCCTGAAAACCTACAGGGGACAAGTACTACCTTTGCTAGTTTCCCCGCAGTTTTCATGATCAAGGAGCAAAGGTAAAAATAACCCCAAATCAGGGAGTATTCTTTCCTCTCCCGATCTTGGAAAGAAAAAAATAAAAACATTCAATTTAAGTTAATTATTAAAATTGACTAACATATTCAAATTGCAATAGTTTGGATATTATCCATTCTTGTGCCTCCATCCATATCAGGTATGTTCGAAATGTTTTGGATTTTTTTTCCTGTCTTCTTCTCTTTCTATACTATGAACATTTCCAAAAAGTGTCCATAACCAGATAACTTTGTGTTTCAGATATGGCGATTTTCCAAATCTCATTCTAAAATGGGCTGAAATTTAGTGACTATCTGCTTCCATGTATTTGAGTTAATCAATGTGTGAAAATGGGGATATCTAACACTCTCACTCAGATCTGGATTATGTTTAATATCGAGGCTAAACATAGGTATCTCTATTGAAAAATAGAAAGAACTTATGGGAAGATTGAGTAATAAAGATTACTACCCCATCCCTTCCACACAGGGCATACCTAGCTC